TTTGTCTCTGCTTTTTAATATGCTATCTAGGTTGGTCATAACTTTCCTTCCAAGGAGTAAGCGTCTTTTAATCCCTAACTAATGCCAAAGACTGAACAAAGGACCCAGGTGTCCGGACAGTCTGGAATGCCCCAGGTCCAGACTGCAGTCCTGAGGGGTGTCTGGCCGACCGTGACCCGCTGCCTGGGCTTAGGTTTTTATCCTCAGGTCGATGCACTTGATTCTCTAATCCAGACTTCCAGAAAAGGGACAATGATGACCGCGCCAGCCCTTGATTCCTTTCCACCCTCCCTGCGTAGGGTGATAACAGTCTGTTCACCAAGAGGCGGTGAGCCAAATATTCCCGCTGAGTCGCCGAGGCTCTCCTTCAGGTCTCCAGGCAGAGGAACCAGAGACACCCCATGTGTCGGCGGAGGCGCACCGATGTCTGCGCGCCCACGGGGAACCCTCTGCAGCGCCGCGCCCCCTACTCCAGGCATGGGGACCGCCCCTCCAGCGCCGCGCCCCTCCCTCCAGGCTCACGGACCGCCCCTCCGGGCACACGGACCGTCCCTCTGGGTGCGAGGGCCTCCCCTCCAGGCACACGGACCGCCCCTCCGGTGTAGAGACTGCCCCTCAGGGCACACGGACCGCCCCTGGGGCATGGGGACCGCCCCTTCGGGCGCTGGANCAGGCTCAGGGACCGCCCCTCCGGGCACTCGGACCGCCCCTCCAGCATAGGGACCGCCCCTCCGGGCGCGGGGACCGCTCCCGGCGCCGAGGCCCCGCCTTGCAGCCCGCCCATTGGTCCCGCTAGACCCTCACCCCGCCCCCGGAACGGCCCAGCCACACCCTCCGCGTTACTGCTCCGGACACCTTGTGAGTCGGGATTGTTGCGTCTGGCAACCTAGCCCAGAGCTCCGCCGGTCTGAGCTCAGCTTTCCCGCCGGTCTCCCCGAAAGTGAGAGGGTTTCATATAGCGCAAGCCCCCTCCTGGTCGCCCCTAGAGTCCCCTTTTTCTGGTGCCTCGTAGGGATGCTTTTGGTGGTCCTCGTGCTCCTGCTGCCCACAGTCTCCGGTAGGAGCCTGCAGAGTGTGCGCGCTGGTGGGGAACCGGAGCGGCTCGCGAGGCCGGCCGACTGGAACCGAGGGTGGGAGGAGATTTGCTTTTTGTCTCTCGTGAGAGTCGTGGGGCTGGGTCCACTCCGGGGTTATAAGGAGTTGGGGTAGAAAGCGTGACCAGAGCGTCCGCGGGTCTGGCTGCGTGGAGATCTAGGGGAGTAGGGACTACATAGCTCTGGAAGAGAAGTCTTGCTTGCGGGGGGCACTCAGCGAAGCGGGGTGATGGGCGAAACTGAGGCTTACCAAGGGCCAGGCTGGTGGTGTTCAGTCGCTAGTCCTATCTGACTCTTTGCAAACCCAGCGACTGCAGCAAACCAGGCTTCCCTGTCCTTCACCATCTCCTGGAGTTTGCTCAGACTCATGTCCATTGAATCGGTGATGCCATTCAACCATCTCGTCCTCTGCCGTCCCCCTCTCCTCCTGCCTTCAATCTCATCAGGTGACCAAATGAACCACAGACTGCTGATCTGATGCTGGTGGTGACGGTTTGCTCGTGAGTTCCCAGGTGCCTGGGGATGTAGTTAGGCTGCTGTTGTGCCTGTGGGGACGTTTACCCTATATTCTCTAGGCAGTTTGATAACTTGGTAGTAGGGGTGTTATGTGCCCCTCGGGCTTGGCTGGGCTAGGGGAGCCCACACAGAGTGTTCCCTAGTGTGTACTTTGTAGAAGTGCCACCCGGTGGTGCCAAGTGTGGGCCCAGGAAGCTACTGCTTGCTTTGTGTGGGGCTGGGAAGTTCATTTGGAAGTCAGGTAAGACCAGGGGCTGGGTGGGGCCCCACCCATTTCCCCCACCCACTCCCCCCACCCTCCCAGTTCCTCTTTGGTGGTGGAGGCTGTAACTCAGGATCCTGGGGGCAGCAGAAGTCACCATCCTTGTGCCCCACGTGGTGATGCCATTGACGCTGGCAGCAGCAAGGTACCAACACCCAAGAGGTATAAAAAGTAATAAGGTGGCCACAGGGCAAGACCTGTGAAGGAGGCAGTGGAGGGTGAAAAGTGCCCGTTTGCAGATATTGCCAGAGGCAGCGCAGAAGAAACCAAAGACTTGTGCTGTAGTGCCACCTGCTGGGGAAAAAATCTTTTAATTTCTAACAGGTTGAATCATTCTCTTCTTGCCTTATTGCACCTAGTTACCCTTTTTGTGGAACTAAAAAGCCTCTTGATGCAAGTGAAAGAGGAGAGTGAAAAAGTTGGCTTAAAGCTTAACATTCAGAAAACTAATATCATGGCGTCTGGTCCCATCACCTCATGGGAAATAGATGGGGAGACAGTGGAAACAGTGTCAGACTTTATTTTTTTGGACTCCAAAATCACTGTGGATGGTGCCTGCAGCCATGAAATTAAAAGATGCTTACTCCTTGGAAGGAAAGTTATGACCAACCTAGATAGCATATTAAAAAGCAGAGGCATTACTTTGCCAACAAAGGTCCGTCTGGTCAAGGCTATGGTTTTTCCAGTGGTCATGTATGGATGTGAGAGTTGAACTGTTGAAGAAAGCTGAGCACCGAAAAATTGATGCTTTTGAACTATGGTGTTGGAGAAGACTCTTGAGAGTCCCTTGGACTGCAAGGAGATACAACCAGTCCATCCTAAAGGAGATCAGTCCTGGGTGTCCATTGGAAGGACTGATGCTGAAGCTGAAACTCCAATACTTTGGCCACTTCATGCGAAGAGTTGACTCTGGAAAAGACCCTGATGCTGGGAGGGATTGGGAGCAGGAGGAGAAGGGGGTGACAGAGGATGAGATGGCTAGATGGCATCACCGACTTGATGGGCATGAGTTTGAGTAAACTCTGGGAGTTGGTGATGGACAGGGAAGCCTGGCATGCTGCGATTCATGGGGTCACAAAGAATTGGACACGACTGAGCGACTGAACTGAATTGAACCCTTTTTATGCATGTTAAAGTTCCAAAGAAGTAAGTTAACCATGTACAGGGGTGAATTCTAACTAATCAAAATACTGTACGTGGCATTTTATAAAACATTAAGCCTTTTATACCCCAGCCTACCTGCTGGGAGCCTACCTGCAAAGGAAGGCAAACAGACAGAAAGTAAGGAATAGTCATGAATTGTTTCTGAAGACTTGGATTCAGTATCTTTTCTTTACAACTGATGATGCATCTACCATCCAGTTTCATCTTCCCCACCGACTGGAACCATGATTTTGTAGCACATTTTCCAAGTTTGATAAAAAGGTGTGCAGTGTTATAGAATGTAATTGTTCTTGCTTACAAGCACTGTACCAGCCTTCTAAAAAGTTTGTTAATCAACCATGGACATCAATTTCAATAAACTTTTGTTTTTTATATTCATTTTAAAAGGTAGTTTGTGTAGACAGTGAAAGAAGGGGCAGGATGGTCAGGTTTCAATGAGATTTCACTTTGATCTGAGACCAGAATTTTCCTGAATGTACTGCCTGGGCAGGGATCTGGTTTTGTGCTTGAGTACCAGAGTGATGTTTAAATTTAGCAAGCAGGTAGAGAGTCTCTGCACAACTTTTGTAAGTGTACAGAAGGTGAACAGTTCTCTTGATATGTAGTACAGACTCTTTCATCTTCCTGAAACTCATCTGGAAAACTAGGGAATTTTATGAATGCAGCCTATCATATTATATAATGGCATCTGCTGTTAACGTATAGCATTGCAACCCAATAATTATTATATTGTAAATTATCTAGGAAAAAACTTAGTCATAATACTAGTTTTCTGAAACTAGAAATGTTTAGTTTGAAAATCACACAGGAGTAAAGAATTCAGTATTCTGAGTAAGAGAAGACATTTGGTAATTAAAAAGCATGGTATTGGACTCAATCATTAAACCTTGTATGTTTAAACCTTGTATTCAACTGGTTGCCAAAGCATACATTCCAAACTGTATATAGTTGAAAGTGTACCTTTCATGATGCTCGTTAGTGGGAAGAAATACTCGTTGGCTAAATGGATTAAACCATCCCATTGACATTTCTTTTCTTTTCATATTAGAAATTCTTTCTTCATGATATGGTTTCAAGATAGGTAGTGAAATCAGATACATAAACAAATGACACTTGTATAATTTAATTATGGACATGCTATTAACTTGATTTCTCTCTTGGTTCCAGGAAACTCTGGATGATGTATCTATTAATGGGAATTATATTGCATTTCTAATCCATTTTTTTTCCTACTGTAAAATGACGATGTATGGCTCAGAGTATTCAATATATTTAATGTTATTCATAAAATTCAATGCTGTCCTGACTTTTTTGTTGTTCTTGTTCAGTCACTAAGTTGTGTCCGACTCTTTGCAATCCCACGAACTACAGCAAACCAGGCTTCCCTGTCCTTCACTGTCTCCCAGAGCTTGCTCAAATTTATGTCCACTGAGTTGGTAATACTACCTAACCATCTCATTCTCTGCCCCCCACTTCTCCTTTGGCCTTCAGTCCTTCCCAGCATCAGGGTCTTTTCCAATGAGTTGGCTCTTCACATCAGGTGGCCAAAGTTTTGGAGTTTCAGCTTCAGCACCAGTCCTTCAAATGAATATTAGGATTGATTGGTTTGATCTCCTTGCTGTCCAAGGGACTTGCAAGAGTCTTCTCCATTACCACAATTCCAAAGCATTAATTTTTTGGCACTCAGCCTTCTTTATGGTCCAATTCTCATATCTGTACATAACTACTGGAAAAACCATAGCTTTGACTATACGTACCTTTATCAGCAAAGTGATGTCTTTACTTTTTAACACCTTGTCTAGGTTTGTCATAGCTTTCCTTCCAAGGAGCAAACATCTTTTGGTTTCATGGCTGCAGTCACTGTCGGCAGTGATTTTGGAGCCCAAAAGAATGAAGTCTGTCACTGCTTCTACTTTTTCCACATCTATTTGCCATGAAGTGATGGGACCTGATGCCATGATTTTGGCTTTTTGAATGCTGAGTTTCAAGCCAGCTTTTTCAGTCTCCTCTTTCACCGTCAAGAGGCTCTTTGTTTATTTATTTTTAAGAGGCTCTTTAGTACTGATCTTTAAACTCTGTTTTTAATAACTGCATCCTTTTTTTGTTTGTTTGTTGCTTTTGTTTTGGGCAGTTGATTGAGGAGATTTCATATATTAAGACCAGAATAGTGGAAATGTTGAAAACATTTTGCCAAAAGTGGATTTCAGCACTTTGTGTAGTGAAATGTTGGACAGAATGTCAAGAGAGGAGTTTAGACTTTAGAAAATGATGAAAAAGGAGGATAACATTTCATATGTTTAGAGTTCTCTCTTGACTAGTCTTTCGATCTAAAGACCTAGACCCAAAGAATAAGAAAGAAAAGTTCCCTCAGGGATCAAAATAGTCTATCTCCCATCCCCTTAGGTCCTATAACCTTATAGGAAAGGCCTCTGCCTCCTTTTAGCACTTTAGGACTTTAGCCAATGTGTCTCCACCATAATATTTTACATTATTTTCTAACATTTATAAGATTTTCAAGAGCACAGATAATTAAAAGGAAGAGGACTTGCTGAAGTAGGAACAACACTGTTCTAGGGAAGAACCCTCCACAAAAAAAGGACAGAGGTAAAAAAAATTCTAAAAGCATAGCAATATAGCAGCTTCACTGTCCGGATGCATTGGATAAACAGCCCAAAGAGCTACTGCAGGGAGTTTCTAAGGGAATGCACAATTCATTAATCAATGAAAGAAGATTAAATGATTACTACTGGAACATCCAAGAAACCAATTTTTACTAAGGCTATTCAAAGTAATAAAATTTGATATTTCAAGGGTTTCCATTTATTTGCAAAATGCTCAATTCACTAATACAAAACACATAAAGGAAGTCATAATTTTAAATATTTTAGTCAATATTTATTTTGATCTATGATATCTACAAGGCTTATTTGATATTTACCTCTTGCCATAGCATGTCTTGAGCACCCAGTGTGTACGGAGTGTACTACAAAAAGAAGGTGTATGCTCCCTGCCCTCTAGGACCTTGCTTTCCTGCCATCTAGGACCTTGCCTTCTGAGAAGAAACTGAACCCAAAGTGATAGGTGATCATATGCTTGTGTTTCAAACTGTGGAAGCATAATCTTATACAAGACCTCTTAGAGGAGAGGTGAATGTCAAAATAATGAATTTAGAAAGAAGTGGGGAAGGACACATACCTATAAACATATTTTAAAACCAAAAACATTGATGCTATCTCTTCAATTTAGTGTTGAATGAAATTTCACCTTAATCCTCAACAAACCAAAAGCTCATAGATTATCATTTAAAATAAGCAAGGCACATCCTTTGCAACAATTACCACTTGGGTAAAAGCAAGAACAGTCATTTAAAATCTTGCCAAGAATCTTTCTATTTATTCTGTACTACCTACCTGATGCCAGGCCACAGTCCCTGCCTGATGAAAGAAATAAGCTATTTTATTTTCATGTTCTTATTCTCTTTATTCCTAGATGCCTGTGGTGATCCACCAAGGTTTGAAACTATGAGGCTCCAGGGTGCGCCTAAACCCAGGTATCGTCCTGGGGAACGTATACAATATGACTGTCGCCTAGGTTTCAAGCCCATAATTCCTCTTCGTTCCAGATCTGCTGTTTGTGAGGATGACAATACATGGTCAGCTCTCGAGGAGGCCTGTACAAGTAAGTAAACTTTTTTTTTTTATTGCTCTGGAGAGTTTCACACATTTTAGTGCACATATTCGTCTATTGCAATAATGGTTCTCTCATGTGAATATGGGTTTTAGATGGCAATGCATTTATTCAGGCTTAAAAAATCCCCAAAGAACTTTTTTCTTGGCAATTGGTTACCTAGGTAGATATTAATCATGTTTGGCCATATAATATGGAAAGAAATAATAATTAAATGAATAATAAGATCCCCATGAATTCAAACAAGAATTGTAGAATTTTGAATTTGATTTAAATCTATTTTTGAAATTGCTGTAAACCAACAAATTTTAATATTTTCTCTTAGGAAAATCATGTCCTAATCTGGGAGATCCAATGAATGGTCAAGTTTACTTCGTCAATGGAAGTATTCTGTTTGGTTCACAGGCTCACTTTGTTTGTAATCAGGGGTAAGTAAGATGCTACTTACAGAAAATAAGGTTAAATGATACTAACTGTATTTTGGTTTTGCTCCTCTTCTTAAGCGTTCCTATAAACTTGATTTCATCTTGCTTTCTATGTGACAAATTATACTTGTGGCCAAACAACTTTTGCATTTTTTATGAAGATTTGAAATATATGCAATAGAAAGACATTTAAGTTGAAGTAAAGCAAAATTGTATAATTTATGATATGTAATAATAAATCTATTGTATGCATTAAAAGTGTAGTAATCATGGTAAATTTATTTTTTGACAATAAAGTGTACCCTATTTAAAATTGCCAATTCTCTAAGCTGAAGTAAGGCTTTTAGAAATAGGAGGTAGAATTGTCAACCGAACTCTGGCTTAAAATTCAGCATTCAAAAACCTAAGATCATGGCATCCAGTGCCATCACTTCATAACAATAGATGGGGAAACAATGGAAACAGTGACAGACTTTATTTTCTTGGGCTCCAAGATCTCTGCAGATGGTGACTACAGCCATGAAATTAAAGGATGCTTGCTTCTTGGAAAGAAAGCTATGGACAATCTAGACAGCATATTAGAAAGCAGAGACACTGCATTGCTGACAAAAGTCCATCTAGTCAAAGCTATGGTTTTTCCAGTAGTCATGTATAGATGTGAGAGTTGGCCTAGAAAGAAAGCTGAGCACCAAAGAATTGATGTTTTTTTTTTTTTTTTTTGAATTGATACTTTTGAATTGTGGTGTTGGAGAAGACTCCTGATAGTCCCTTGGAGACTATCAGAAGTCCCAAGGAGACTTGGAGTCCCAAGGAGATCCAACTAGTCCACCCTAAAGGAAATCAGTCCTGGATATTCATTGGAATATTCATATGCTGAAGCTCCAATACTTTGGCCAGCTGATGCGAAGAACTGACTCATTAGAAAAGACCCTTATGTTGGGAAAGATTGACGGCAGGAGGAGAAGGGGACGACAGAGGATGAGATGGTTGGCTGGCATCACTGACTTGATGGACATGAGTTTGAGCAAGCTCTGGGAGATGGTGATGGACAGGGCAGTCTGGTGTGCTGCAGTCCATGGGGACGCAGAGTCGGACGTGACGGAGCGACGGAACTGAATTGCTTTGCCATGCTGTATTGGTTTCTACCGTACAGCAAGGCAAATCAGCCATAATTAGATGTTCATTCCCTCCCTCTTGAGCCTCCCTGGTTCCTGTCATCCCACCCCTCTAGGGTTTCACAGAATACCAGGCTGGGCTCCTTGTGAGAGATAGCAGCTTCCCACTAGCTGTCTGTTTTGCATATGACAGGGCGTATATGTCAAGGCTACTTTCTCAGTTCATCTCACTCTCTTCTTCCCCCACCGTGACCAAAAGGCCATCCTCTAAGTCAGGGTCTCCATTCCTTCACTGCAAAGAGATTCAGCAGTACTACTTTTCTAGATTCCAGATATATGTGTATAATATGAGATTTTTTTTCTGACTTACTTCACTCTGTATAACAGGCTCTAAGTTCATCCACCTCACTAGAATTGACTTACATTTTTTCCCTTTTTTATGGGCTGAGTAATATTCCATTGTGTATATGTTCTACATCTTCTTTATCCATTTCTCTCTCGATAGGCATCTAGGTTGCTTCCATGTCCTGGCTAATGTAAATAGTGCCGCAGTGAACATTGGGTACATGTGTCTTTTGAATTGTTCTCTCAAGGCATGTGCTCAGCAGTGAGATTGCTGGGTCATATGGAAGATTTATTCCTAATTTGTTAAAGAATCTTCATACTGCTCTTCATAGTTGCTGTATCATTTACATACTCACCAACAATGCAAGAGGGTTCCCTTTTCTCCACATCCTGCCCAGCATTTATTGTTTGTAGTTTTTTGATGATGGCCATTTTGATCGTTGTCAGGTGATACCTGATTGTAACTTTGGTTGCATCTCTCTAATAATAAGGGATGTTGAGCATTTCTTCATGTATTTATTGGCAATCTGTCTTCTTTGGAGAAATGTCTGTTTAGGTCTTGTGCCCATTTTTGATTGGGCCTTTTGTTTTTCTAAGATTGAGCTGTGTGACCTGTTTATATATTCTGGAGATTAATCCTTCATCGGGTATTTCATTTACAATTATTTTCTCTCATTCTGAGCGTTGTCTTTTCATCCTGTTTATTGTTTCCTTATTTGTGCAAAAAAAAAAAAAAGCTTTGATGTTTAGTTAGGTCCCATTTGTTTATTTTTGTTTTTATTTCCATTGCTCTAGGAGGTGGGTCAAAGAGGATCTTTCTGTGATTTATGTCAAAGAGTATATTTCCTGTATTTTCCTCAAACAGCTTACAGTGTCTGGCCTTATATTTAAGTCTTTAATCCATTGTGAGTATATTTTTTTGTATGGTTTTAGGAAGTGTTCTAATTTCATTCTTTTACATATAGCTGTCCGTTTTCCCCAGCACCGCTTATTGAAGAGACTGTCTTTTTCTCCATTGTATATTCTTGCCACCTTTGTCAAAGATAAGGTACCCATGGCCATGTGGGTTTATTCCTGGGCTTTCTATATTGTTCTGTTTGTTTATATTTTTGTTTTTGTGCCAGTACCATATACTGTCCTGATGACTGTAGCTTTGTAGCATAGTCTGATGGAGAAGGCAACGGCACCCCACTCCAGTACTCTTGCCTGGAAAATCCCATGGACGGAGGAGCCTGGTAGGCTGCAGTCCATGGAATTGCAAAGCGTCGGACATGATTGAGTGACTTCGCTTTCACTTTCATGCATTGGAGAAGGAAGTGGCAACCCACTCCAGTGTTCTTGCCTGGAGAATCCCAGGGACGGGGGAGCCTGGTGGGCTGCCGTCTATGGGGTCGCACAGAGTCGGACACGACTGAAGCGACTCAGCAGCAGTAGCAGCAGCATAGTCTGAAATCAGGAAGGTTGATTCCTCCAGGTTCTATTTTTCTTTCTCAAGATTTCTCTGGCCATTTGGGATTTTTTGTACTTCCATACAAATAGTGAAATTTTTGTTCTACTTCTGTGAAAAATGCCATTATTAGTTTGATATGAATTGCATTGACTCTGTAGATTGCTTTGAGTAGTATAGTCATTCTGAAAATATTGATTATTCCAATTCAAGAACATGGTATATTTCTCCATCTATTATGGTCATCATGGATTTCTTTCTTGTAGTTTTCTACATACAGATGTTTTGACTCTTTAGGTAGGTAAATTCCTTATTTTATTGCTTTTGTTGCAGTGGTGAATGGGATTGTTTTCTTAATTTCTCTTTCTGATTTTTCATTGTTAGTATATAGGAATGCAAGGGATTTCTCTCCATTAATTTTTTCATCCTGTAACTTTAATAAATTCATTGATTAGCTCTAGTAATTTTATGGTGATAACTTTAGGGTTTTTATGTATGGTATCATGTCATCTGCAAACAGTGCAAGTTTTCTTCTTCTTTTCCAATTCTGGATTCAATATTTCTTTTTCTTCTCTGATTGCCATGGCTAGGATTTCCAAAACTATATTGAATGATAATGGTGAGAGTGTGCACCATTGTCTTCTTCCTGATCTTAGAGGAAATGCTTTCAATGTTTCACAACTGAGAAAAATGTTTGCTGTGAGTTTCTCATAGATGGCCTTTATCGTGTTGAGGTTGGTTCCCTCTATGACCACTTTCTGGAAAGTTTTTGTAAATGGGTGTTGAATTCTGTCAAACCTCTTTCTGCATATATTGAGGTGATCATATGGCTTTTATTCTTTAATTTGTTCACATGGTGTATCACACCAATTGATTTGTGGATATTGAAAAATCCTCGCATTCCTAGGATAAAGCCCACTTGATAATGATGGAGGTACATTTTAATGTATTGTTCAATTTGAATTGCTAGTATTTTGTTGAAGATTTTTGCATCTATGTTCTTCAGTAATAGTGCCTATAATTTTCTTTTATGTGGTATCTTTGTCTGGCTTTTTATCAGCATGATGATGGCCTCATAGAATGAGTTTAGGAGTGTTCTTCCCTCCTAAATTTTTGGAATAGTTTGAGAATGTTAACTCATCTTTAAATGTTTAATAGTATTCACCTGTGAAGCCATCTCGTCCTGGACTTTTATTTGCTGGGAATTTTTTAATCAACTTTCAATTTTAGTACTCGCAATTGGTCTGTTCATATTTTCTCTTTTTTTCTGGTTCAGTCTTAGGAGAGTGTACCTTTCAAAAAATTTTTGCATTCCTTCCACGTTGTCCATTTTATCAGCATAGAGTTGCTCATAGTATTCTCTTATGGTGCTTTGTATTTCTGCATCTTCTGTTGTAACTTCTCCTTTTTCATTTCTACTTTTATTGATTTGAATCTTCTTTTTTTTTCTTGATGAATCTAGCTAATGGTTTGTCAATTTTATCTTCTAAAAGAACCAGTTTTTAGTTTTATTAATCTTTTTTATTGTTTCCTTCATTTCTTTTTAAATTATATCTGCTCTGCTCTTTATGATTTCTTTCCTTATACTAATTATTGTTTTTTTTCTTCTTTGTCTAGTTACTTTATGTGTAAGGTTAAGCTGTTTATTTGATGTTTCTGTTGTTTCTTGAGGTAGGCTTGTATTGCTATAAGCTTCCCTCTTAGCACTATTTTTGCTGAATCCCATAGGTTTTCAATTTTTGTGTTTTCATTGTCATTTGTTTCTATATTTTCTTTGAATTCTTCAGTGACCTCTTGGTTATTTAGAAGCATATTTTTAATCTCCATGTATTTGTGTTTTTTTAATTTTTTTCCTATAGTTGATAAATAATCTTATACCACTGTGGTCACAAAAAATACTTGATGCAATTTTAATTTTCTTAAATTTACCAGGCCTTGATTTCTGACCTCAGATGTGAAATATCCTGGAGAATATTTCATTTGCGTTTGAGAAAAAAGTGAATTCTGCTGCTTTTGGATGGAATGTCTGTAGATATCAGTTAGCTCCATTTGGTTCAGTGTGTGGTTTAAGGCTCATATTTCCTTATTAGTTTTAG